CTGGTTGAAAATGGTGGCTCTTCTGGTCTAGATTATATTCAGTTATTATGGCATAGGTTTAAAAATACTTTAATGGATATTTTTCAGCAACTTCAAGTTTTCTGCAAGTTGAAATCTTCTCTTACAACTTTCACTGTTTTATCACCTCTACTCCCACCTCCCCTGAAGAAACTTATCCTATCAGGGTTTAAGTTTAATAGTACTTTATAGTGAGGTATATATTCTCCTGGGGTGAGGGAATTCACTTGAAAGTGAGCATAACTTTTCTTTTATTTCAAAGTTCAACCAGGGATATTAGCAGGAAGTTGTACATCACTTAAACATTTTCAAGTGATTATTTTCTTTGTATGTATTAGGCCTCAAGAAAGGAGAACTGGATATGAGCAGTTTCACCCAGGCCCTTCCCCGGCGGATCATGATTCACTGGAATCCAAGCGACCACGTCTGGAGCAGGTTTCTGATTCCCATTTCCAGCGGGTCAGCGCTGCGGTCTTACCTTTAGTGCACACGCTGCCAGAAGGGGTGAGGTCTTCTGCAGATGCTAAGAAGGTAAATATTTGTTCTCTTACCCTGTGGAGTTGTCGGTCTGAAATGTTTGTTTAGCCATACTCAGGCACAGCGCCTAAAAGAAAGTCCAGTTATGCCAGTCTCTAAAGGTTAGTGCTATGGGAAAGTAAAAATTTTGTTAAACAAAACTAAAAACCACAGACTTAATACTCCAGACTTTTAAAGTCAGTACTTTTTAACTTTTTGGTAAATGAAAACAATCCGAGGACTGCTGTAAAGAAAAATTGCTGTTGAATGACATTAAATTGCTGTTGAATCTCAAGCATTTTATATCGGCTTGTTGGGCTGTAAAATGTGGTCAGACTCAAGACTACCACAGTTCTGTTAAATTTAAATTAAATTTTAAATAATACCTTTAAATTCAGTTGCAGTTTATTAACTTACTGCATAGGAGAAGACACGTTTTAGGTAAGGTTTAATTGTGCTTATAATTTTTGAAAAGAAAGTTTCTTTTTCTAATTTATGTAAAAAATATGTTCTTGCAAATACAGAGGAAAAAAGTTATCTATAATTCTCTGTCTTAGAGGTAACTGTTATATTTTTAATATGTAGCTATATCTCGTGACATTTCAAACAATGTGTATTGTGGATTTATGAGAAGGTTCTAAGATCAGACCTCTTTTTCTCATATGTTTATTGTTATTTGCCTTTCTTTTGTGAAATGCATCTTCCTGTATTACGCCCTTATTTTTTTTGCTGAGTTTATCATATTTAACTGTCTATTTTGCTTGTCATTAAATCTTCAGATTAGGAAGTATCTGGCACTTAGTAGGTAATGAATAAATATTTGTTTTAGAAAGAATAAACTAATTCTTTAAAACACTTTTTACAATAAAGTGTTAACCCCTTTACTATCATATGTTCATATCTCTTACCCCTGCCTTTTTGTTATCAAATATTTTTCCCATAAAATTTATTTGCCTTTATGGCTAATGGCCCTGTCCACCCTGATATCAGATAAATAAATACACATTTTCTTTGAGTTTTAATGCAGTGAGAAATGATTTAAAAGGTAGTGAATATGTTTGCAATTTATTTTCAAATAGATCAACTGGGAAAAAAAAGGTAGGTGTGTGCATGTGTATGGAGACAAAGCAAATATAGCAAAATGTTACAACTAGTGAATCTAGATGAAGATATTGAGTGTCCATTATACTAGTCTTTCAACTCTTATGTAAATTTGAAAATTTTCAAAATAATAAGTTGGGTGGGGAAAGCTCTTTGTGATAAGCTAGAAATGAACTAAGCATCTAGGAATATTGAGACCTGCTTCACTATGTGAAGTATCTGTATTATAGTCTATGGATTTATAAGAAATGTTTGAAACATTTAAAAAAGAAGGAAAGAAAGAAATACAGTGAATAAAGGTCTTCTTCCAAGGCTGAATAAATGACCACAAAGGTAATTTATAGCTATAGATTTTTTTGGCAGAAAGAGATCTTAAAACTTCATCCATTTAAATAATGTGTTATGTTGGATCAGAGTACAGTTGATTTCCGTTTTATAGTAGAGAAGACAGATGTTAAGAAAAATTAAGTGACCTAGGTCGAGCCTCCTGAGTTGGAGTGAGAGCCCATGACCTCTGACCCCTAGTCCTGCTCTTTCCCCCCGCCCCAAGTTGTAAATCATGACTTTGGTTTTTTTAGAAGTAGGGATTTTGAAAGAGTTAGCATCTGTTAGTTTTTTTCTTTTTTTTTAATGTTGTTAAGCCCAGGTATATTATTTATAGGATTAAATTAGATAAGTTTGCAGGAAACAGTTACAGTCTCACCAGTTAGAAATTGTTGTTAATTGTGCATATTTTAATGTGCCCGCATTGTATATTATATATAGCTTTATTTTTGCTTAAATACATACTTCTTGTGTTGTTAAGTTTACAGTTTTATTTTTAGTCATATTCCATATATGGATATAAAGTAATTTATTTAATTGCCACACATTTGGGTTACCTGTTTGCTCATTAGAACAAGGGCATATTTTCTTTAGGTTGATATTCTTTTTTTCTTTTTTGCGGTACGCGGGCCTCTCACTGTTGTGGCTTCTCCCATTGCAGAGCACAGGCTCTGGACGCGCAGGCTCAGCGGCCATGGCTCACGGGCCCAGCCGCTCCGCGGCATGTGGGATCTTCCTGGACCGGGGCACGAACCCGTGTCCCCTGCATCGGCAGGTGGACTCTCTACCACTGCGCCACTAGGGAAGCCCAATAGGTTGATTTTTGTGTTTGATTTTTTTATGGCTGCGCTGTGCAGCTTGCGGGATCTTAGTTCCCTGACCAGGGATTGATCCCTCACCCTGGGCAGTGAAAGTGCACAGTCCTAATCTCTGGACCACCAGGGAAGTCCCTAGGTTGATTTTTTTGGTATGCAGTCTTATTTATTTAGCTAAGGTAAATTCCTGTTAGTGTAAGTAGTTAGAGGCCAGAGTTGGCATAGTTTAAGGTTTTCATGGGTGTATCCAGATTGCCCTGCGAAGGAGGAGAGCCAGCTTTGGTCCCTGGCAGCACATGGTATAGGGGCTCCCAGGTCTGTGTGCCCTCACTGATACCACATATGTACTGTTTTTTAAAAAGTCATTGTTTGATAAATTTTTAACTTGCATTTATTTGCTTGTTAGTAAAATTTAACATTTTTTCCTTTTTTTTCCTTTTTTATGAATTGCCTTTTCATATCTATTGCCCATTTTTCTGTTGGTGTGTTTTTTATTTTATATTGAGTTGTTGGAGTTCACGTTTTGCAAATGATTTTTTCCATTTGCGTTTTAAATTTTTTATTTCAATTTTGATGAAGAGAAAATTGTTTTTTTATTTTGATTCATCAATCTTTTTTTTTTTTTAATGTCTTTTGCTCTTGGCTTTCCTGAGCTCAGGATAATGTGAATGCCTTTTTTTTGTTTGTTTGAGGCTTCTTGTGATTTGCTAATAAGTCTCATATAAATGTTTGCTATTATTTGGCTTTCATTGTGATATAAGATGTGAGGTAGGAGTCTTAACTTTTTCCCTCAAATTACTATCAGAATGTTCCAATACAAAATTATAAACTCCTTGAAGACGAGCATCATGCCTGTTTTGTTCACCACTCTACCTAGTGCCTGCCATATAGTAGGCACTCAAGGAATTTGTTTTTTGTTAAATATTTAACTAGAGAAGAAGTCAGTGGAAAATACTGATTTGTAATAGTAGTTCTTAGGGCACGGATCAGATCACCTGAGGAGCGTTTTCAAAATCTGCTGAATCGAAATATAATCTGTTTTGCTGTTAAACATGTTATGTAACACAAGTTAGCTCATATGCATACGTAAGAGAATGATATGAATATAACATGGAAGTCCTAAAGATTCATGAATGATGGTTCCCTGCACATGAATGTTTTCAGGCTCTCAGGATCACGCTGTCTCGTAATTAAGAAATAGCCTTTGAGATAGACGAAGACCTTAAAAAGATTTGAAAAGTCTGCATTTAGTTTTCATTTAGTGCAGGTAGTAGCTGGCTTAGTTAATTCAAGAACTGCTCTGCTTTTCAATGTTAAGCTAACCAATGAAGATTGGAATGTTGAAAAGAAACTGCGAAGACGTTTTCTCCTGTACTTTTTTGTTTTTAAAGGTTGATAAAAATCTTTATACCCCGAATCTGATTTTTATTTTGATGAAACGTACTGTGTTCTACTGGAAGCAAATGACCTCAAGGATTAACAAAGGAAGCATAAACTATAGGGTTTATGGCTACCAAAGAATTGACTGTAGTCTAAATGCAAATGATATTGGAGTTTTAACAATATTATTACTTCTATTAGGATCGCTGTTGTTTTTGCTAATGCTCTGCTTACAAAGTTTAAGTAATAACCATAATCCTATTTTCCCCAGAAGTCTTATATTTAACTATACTGTTACAGAATATCAGACTTTTCAGGAATATACATGTTATGTTTTAAGTTGAAATCTCTGTTCCAAGGTGTTTTGGAACAACTATCCAGGTATAATTAAGTGCATTCTTGGTTAGAACTACTGATTTCTCACAGTTAATTAATCTTATTTAATACATTGAGTGCTCTATAGTCCTAGGAACTATGCTCATTCTAGGCTTCTTATACCCTAAAGAAAACTAGTACCTTAACCTAAAATTTATCTGCTTTACAGTGTTGCTTATATCTTTACTTTAGACTGGAGATTGGTAGGCTGTATGTGTGTGTGTGCACGCGTGCGTGTGTGTGTTGACGGGGTGATAGGTTTTGGGTGGAGGGGCCTACAATCTGCTGTAGTCCCCTGCTGGTTTGGAGCTGGAGTGGGATGATATATTTGGCTGAAGAGATGTTATGTGCGCTATAGGGTGGGCAGGCTTAGTTGCCCTTTATGAAGGTAGGCCTGGGTGATCGTAGCAACAAAAGTTCTAGATCATTTCTCGGACTTCTGTACCTCACTGTTGGCCCTTGGAAAGTCTGAAAACTTTTTGATAGGAACAGCCATATCATAGCTGTTACGTTGGGTGGGCACACAGGGTATGCATGTTCAGACCTTTTGGAGTGCCATTACAAGGAAATGGCTGAGGAATTGGTATCTTCCTTTGCCGTGATTGCGTTATTATTTCTGCACAAATTAGAAGTCTCAGTATCATTGTACTAAAGGCTGGTTAGCCACTTAGCCACCTCATACTGGATGGCTTTTAGGATCTTCAAAATTGTGAATGATATGTCTAAACTATAAACATCAGTGGTGTGGGTTTGTGAGTGTGTGAGAGAGAAAGGGAGGGAGGGAGAAAATTGCTACCGTAGGGCTGCCATCTACAGAGAGCACACATTGCTCTGCTAAGCTTTAAAGTTCACTTTGTTCAGTTAAGAGGATCTTGAGGCTGACATTGGCTGTTGATGAGAAGTCATTTGTTCTTGACTTTCTTCCTTAAAGGATCCAGCATTTGCAGTCAAACATGAAGCTCCTTCCTCTCCAGTCTCTGGGCAGCCGTGTGGAGATGATCCAAATGCTTCACCTTCAAAGCTCTCAAAGGAAGAGTTAATACAGAGCATGGATCGTGTAGACCGAGAAATTGCAAAAGTAGAACAGCAGATCCTTAAACTGAAAAAGAAACAAGTAAGTGTTTGATTTGACTGCTTAATACACTCTCAGAATGTATGTTCGTCTCCCTGAACAAGAGCATGTTGAGCTTTCCGTAGTTTTAACTTGACGCAAAGGAGATCATGCCCTGTATGTTCTGTGACTTGCTCATGTTTGCTGTTAGTTTCCTTAGTTCCATCCATTCATTTCCTTGTGGTATTGTCTGGTTTTATGATTCCAGACAGCAAAACTTATTTGTCTGTTCTGTGTTGGCTCTTACTGGAGGTGCTCTTTCTAGTTTCTTGCTATTCTACACATGGTGCTATGTTTTTGGGTCACGTGTAAACAGATTTTCTAGGGCGTGTGCCCAGGAATGGCGTTCCGTGGCCTGAGCATGTGCACGTGTTCGCATGTGCTAGATGAGACCACATCTGCTGAGATGGCAGCACCATTTATACTCCCACTGGCAGTGTGTTCACGTTCCAGTTTGTGCATGTTCTTGCCTTCACGTGGATGTGAAATAGTTTTAATTTGCATTTCTCTGACGAGGAATGAGACAGAGCTTGTTTTCATTTGTTTATGGGTTGTGTGCCTTATGTGGATGGTTACTTTGTCATTTTCTTATGTTTAGTGTTTCCTGAAGCCTCTTGTCAGGTATGTGTATAGCACGTGTCTCCTAATTTGTGACTCGTCATTTCAGTTTTTGGGGGGGTGGGGGGGGAGGGTTTTTTTGAGATTAAGAAAGTGTACAGTTAAAGTGTACACTTTAGTGTACACTTTTAAAGTGTACAGTTCAGTGGCTTTTATGTATTCATAAAATTGTGCAACTGTCATCATTATATATTTCCAGAACATTTTTATCACTTCAGAAAGGAACCACATATCTTTTAGCAGCTACTCTATTTCCCTCTCCCCCCAGCCCTGGCAAGTATAAACCTCTTCTCTCTATATATGGATTTGCCTATTCTGGACTTTTCAGATAAATACAGAATCATAATATGTGACATTTTGACTCCTTTTATTTAGCATGTTTTCAAGAGTCATCCATGCTGTATCTTGTATCAGCACAAAATTCCCATCGCATGGATATACTATGTTTTGTTTATCCATTCATTAGTTGATGGCATTTAGGTTGTGTTCACTTTGGGATGTTATGAATAGTGCTGCTAGGACTCACTAGTTTTTGTGTGGACATGTTTTTTTGGTTCTCTTGGATATACACTAGAAGTAGAATTGGCAGGGTCACATGACAAATCTCTGTTTAAAGTTTTGAGGAACTGCCAAACTGTTTTCCAAAGTGGCTGTGTCATTTTAAATTCCCACCAGCAGTGTATGAGGGAGGGTTTCACCTTCTCTACTTCCTTGTCAACATTTGTCGTTGGTTTTTTAACAAATAGCTATCCTAGTAAATGTGAAGTGGTATCTCATTGTGGTTTTGATTTTCATTTTCTTAGTAACCAGTGATGAACATCTCTTTATGTGCTTGTTGGCCATTTGCATATTTTCTTTAGAGAAATGTTCATTCATATCCTTTGCCCAGTTCTTTTTTAGCTGGGTTGTCTTTTTATTGTTGAGTTGTAAGAGTTCTTTATATATTCTGCATACTCAGATGTATGATTTGCAAATATTTTCTCTCATTCTGTGGGTTGTCTTTTTACTTTCCTGATAGTATTCGTTGATGTACAAAACCGTTATTTCCTCTATTTGATTCATTCAAATATTTATTGAGCATCTAGGGAGATACAAAAGTGAATAAAACATCGTCAAAGAGGTAAATCAAATGAATAAATAATAGATGGCAAAGTATAAGATTCACTGAATCACAGCAGTCAAACGAAAGTGCTGTAGGAAATCAAGAGTGAGATTGCTTCTAGCCTGGAGAGGGGTGTGGGTGGCTGGAAAGTCGGGAGCTGGGATTGAGATGAAAATAGAAGACTTCGTCTGGATGGCTAATTGAGCTCTCCTCTGCATTCGCCTCTCCTTCTCCTCTCTCCGTCTTAATTTACCAGGACTGTTCACTGTGCTTTTTCCTAGACTTGCCTGCATTTTTACTTTAACGTCTTATACCGAACTAGGTCCTTTTGGTGTTTCAGGAGGGTTTTTTTTCTTTTTCTTTTTTTCCCCCCTCTGTTTCTTGGAAGGATTCTTGACTTTTTTGCTCTTGGTATTTGATGGTTTTGAGTCTTTTCCATTATGGTTTGATTTTTATGCCTCTTTGGCTGGAGTATCATACAGATTTCTTTGCTGGAGCTTTTTCTTCAGCTTCTCTTCACCTTCATCAGCAAGTTTTGCTTGTTTTCTGTGGAGCCTTGCTGCCGCTTCCAGATATGCTTAGGGGTTTCACACCCTCCTCCTCTTCATCTTCTTACTCTGCATCTTCTAAGTGCTGTCCACTAATAAGTACAAGCCCTGAGCTACTTTTAGACCACAGCTAGTATTGTTTCAGAGCCCCCCAGGGAAGCCATTGGCTGTACAGACGTTATCAGCCTTGCCAGGGCTGCTTTGCTTAGGCTGCGTCTGCTTCAAGAGTGTGCACTTCATCCTTTGCACCAGCCCCGAAACGGACCCTTCCTAAAGATAACCACTCATTTTCATCATTCTCCACTTTGAAGTGATAATCTTTGTTGGTCTTCAGTTGACAACTAAAAGATAGTTCTGGGGCCCCAGGGGGCATACACTTAGGTGGGAGAGAAGGTGGACGGAGATAAGTGACTTCCTTTCAGAGGACAGCTGAGCAGGACAGAGTCATAGCGGGGCGGAAAGTTTTTAATTGTGATGAAGTCCAGTTTATTTTTTCTTTCATCACTTGCACTTTTGGTGTCATATCTAAGAACCTTAATCCAAGTTGCATAATCCGAGGTCACAAAGATTTATACCTATGTTTTCTTCTCGGAGTTTTGTAGTTTTAGCTCTTACATTTAGGTCAGTATTTTTGGTGAACAGAATTTCTGTAGATTTTATATGAGACTACCCTGGGACCATTAAAAGAGTTTACTTACATTGTCTTTCTAAAAGTTTTATAGTTTTCTCATCAAATTATTCTTTTTTTTTAAATTTATTTTTATTTATTTATTTTTGGCTGTGTTGGGTCTTTGTTGCTGTGCGCCGGCTTTCACTAGTTGTGGTGAGCGGGGGCTACTCTTCGTTTTCGGTGTGCGGGCTTCTCGTTGCAGTGGCTTCTCTTGTTGCGCAGCATGGGCTCTAGGCACGTGGGCTTCAGTAGTTGTGGTGCATGGGCTCAGTAGTTGTGGCTCGCGGGCTCTACAGCGCAGGCTCAGTAGTTGTGGTGCATGGGCTTAGTTGTTCCACGGCATGTGGGATCTTCCTGGACCAGGGCTCGAACCTGTGTCCCCTGCATTGGCAGGCGGATTCTTAACCACTGCGCCACCAGGGAAGCCCTCATCACATTATTCTTAATCTACCAGAAATTGAATTTTTGTGTCTGCCTCAAGGTAGGGGTCAATATTCATCTTTTTCCCTGTATCGATAATTAAAAAGTTCATCCTTTTCCAACTGTTCTACACTTTTAACTGTATTATAATTCAGGTTTGCATCTATATATGGATTGATTTCTGGGCTTTGTGGTCTTTGTGTTCTTTGTGGTGTTGGTGCAGAAATATAATTGATATCCTTCTGATTACTAGAGCTTTATTCTTTTTTTTTTTCCAGTGAGGCAAACCCCACTTCTATGGGCATGATTTAGCTTTTTTTAAAGTTTTTTTACCATCTCATATAACTTTTAGAATCATATTTTTCAGTTTTCCAAAATATCTTTCTGTAATTTTCATTGGAATCATATATAATACAGAAATCAATTCGGGGATGATGGTATCTTTATCTTAATGAGTCTTCCAGTCCGTGGCTATGGTATATCTGTCTATTTAGGAGGGCTTTCATGTTTTATTACTTTCTTTTATATGCCTTGTGTTAGATTCAGCTCTAGGAACTTTATGTTTTTGATGCTATTGTTAATAATATTTTTTCAAAAATTATATTTCTTCTAACTGTTGCAGTTTTTTTTCACATGCTAGAATTACTTTTTTAAAAAAATATTGAAGTATACTTGATTTACAATGTTGCATTAGTTTCAGGTGTACAGCAAAGTGATTCATATATATATGGTCTTTTTCAGATTCTTTTCCATTATAGGTTATTACAAGATATTGAATATAGTTCCCTGTGCTATACAGTAGCTCCTTGTTGTTTATCTTCAGTCTTTTTTTTTTTTAATATATGCCAGCAACCTCCCTAAATTATCCTTGTAATGTTAATTACTTATTTGTAGATTTTTTTGGGTTTTCTATGTAGGTAATGGTCATGTCAACAGTAAAAAAAAAAAAAAAAAAAGACAGTTGTTTCTTTCTTTCCAGTTCTTAAACCTTTTCCTTTTCAGTTGCCTTATTGCTCTGCTTAAGACTGCAGTGCAACATTGGGACTTCCCTGGCAGTCCAGTGGTTAAGAATTCGCCTTCTAGTGCAGGGGGTGCGGGTTTGATCCCTGGTCTGGGAGCTAAGATCCCACATGCCTCCATAGCCAAAAATCTAAAACATAAAACAGAAGCAATATTGTAACAAAATTCAATAAAGACTTTAAAAATGGCCCACATCAAAAAAAATTAAAAATATATATATAACCACTGATTTTTATGTCTATTTTGAAATATGTCTGTGCATATTTGACTACTGAATTCAACATAATGGTATTTCTGGTATGGCAATGTGGTGTAATTACATATCCTTCAAAGTACTATGAAGATAGAAGAACTTTGTTTAATTTTATTATTTCTTAACCACTGCGCCACCAGGGAAGCCCTCATCACATTATTCTTAATCTACCAGAAATTGAATTTTTGTGTCTGCCTCAAGGTAGGGGTCAATATTCATCTTTTTCCCTGTATCGATAATTAAAAAGTTCATCCTTTTCCAACTGTTCTACACTTTTAACTGTATTATAATTCAGGTTTGCATCTATATATGGATTGATTTCTGGGCTTTGTGGTCTTTGTGTTCTTTGTGGTGTTGGTGCAGAAATATAAT